AGGTAAAAGCCAAAATAAAGGTGAGATGGAAAGAAAGCAGAGACTAGTGGGCAGAGAGCAGTCATTCAGGGCACAGAACACATGTCCTAGAGTTCCCCGCTGCTGGAAGCACTGGCTCCAAAATCCTGGTTATCAGCAGATTCAGTTTCATCACTAGATCTTGTGTATAAGGTTGTGAGGATTGGGAGGACAGGAAGGGGTATGGTATGTCCAAAAACCTCCACAGAGCTGTACTGATTCCTAGGTAGGAGGTTCAGACCCTGTCACATTTTGAGGGGTAGGGGATGAACAATATTCCTAGGACATCCCTCTAAGGAAATGTACCAGAAGAACTGAGCTAAAACTCAAAAGGCTTGAGTGTATGGCCGGGCGCAGTGGCTCCAGCCTGTAATCCTAGTGCTCTGGGAGTCCAAGGCAGTGGGATGGCTTGAGATCAGGAGTTCAACACCAGCTTGAGCAAGAGTGAGACCCTGTCTCTACTAAAAATAGAAAAAATTAGCTGGGTGTAGTGACACACGCTTGTAGTCCCAGTTACTCAGGAGGCTGAGGCAGGAGGATCACTTGAGCCCAGGAGAGTTTGAGGTTGCTGTGAGCTAGGCTGATGCCATGGCACTCTAGCCTGGGCAACAGAAGGAGAATCTGTCTCAAAAAGAAAAAAAGAGGCCTAAATGAAGCCAAAAGTCTGTATCCAAAAGAAAATGCTCTGAACTTAGGGTAGTAGGGACTAGACAGAATAGATTAAGCCTGAGGGTGAAGGGCATCCATGAACCCAACTGTGAGGAGCTGGGAAAGGCAATGAGATTTGAGTTGCCTATGTGAAAGACTCCCTGGGGGAGGAAAAGCTGTGAGAATTCAAATCATAAAGGCAGTCTGAGAGCACTGGTGAATGAAAGGTGATGCCAAGTTAACTAGGAAGGTGCTCTTCTTGGAGGAACTCAGGCCAAAAACATTGTATGTCTGAATCACAGGGGCTATTCTGGTAGCTTCTGGATCAGCTATTTTGGCTTCACAAAGTTAGCAGACAAGGGGGAACTACACCTTTGCATGGACACCCCCAAATGCTTTGTCACTGTTTTTGACATGGCTTGTTTTGCTTTCCGGTAAAGCCCTATCTCAGCACAGCTCATTGGGAAATGGAAGCCAGAAGCAATCTATGACCAGCAGCCACTGAGGAAATGCTCTGCCCTTGTCATCACTGGTGGCCTCTTTTGCGCCATCATTTTGCATCATTTCTGGGAAGCTGAGCCTCCCCCTTTCTAAGATCTGTGACTGTTTTGTCTAAGGACATTACAGCAAACCACAGACCCAAAGGTCCTGTGCTCCTGGTTATATTCTGCCCATCAGCTGCTCGCCAGACAACACTGTGCCTGCATCCCAACATGCTGGTGGGAAATCTGTCTACTCAGCACCCTCTGTTTTTGGGGTCAAGAGCCTCCATCCCCAGCACCCTCAGCTGCCTACCTTTTCTCAGACAAAACTGTGAAAGAAATAAAGTGCTTCTTTAGGGACCCAGCTTCTCTTTTTAGGGCCTTTATCTCAAACTCCTTGGTATCTCCTTCCTGTCCCTACAACTAAGGCACGGTGCCCTCTCCTCTCTATCCCTTCCTCAGTCGATTTCTCAGAAATCAATCTCATAAACTCACTTACACTTCTACCTTCATGACCAAGATGCTTCATGATCAACCCTTCCTAGAATTTCTTCATTTTTAACAGGATATCAAAGGTTTAAATAGAAGGATAGAAATTTCAGGTGCAGAATTCCAAGCAATAGCAAATAGCCAGAGCAGGTCTTTGAGGGAAAGGACACACTGCTACTGCCTGTGAAATTATACCACTTGACAGTCCAGCTTATTCTATCACCTGACACCTTCAAGCCGTCTCCCCTGTTAGGCCAGGATCCTTGGATCTGTGCCACACCTACTGCCATCTGGTCTCCCTTGGAAAGGCAAAAGAGAGACACTTCTTGTTTACTCAGTAATAATTCACTGTAATAGTCACACAACAGGTGCCACCAGTTCCAGTACACGCAGTGAGGACATACCACACCCTTGCCTCTGCCCCTATCACACTTACTTCTTGAGACACATCAACAGATTTTAGGATAGGATAGAGCCACTTAAGTAGTAAATCAATTACTAGTAGTGTTTTGACACTTGTGGCCTACACTGCAATGAAGACGTAGAAGTAAAGAACAAAGGGTTTTTTTAATCCTCCCCTATAGCCAATTGGTATCTTTCCCACATATGTCGTTGCAGCATCTCTATATATAGAATCTAGTATTCTATAAACAGAATGCTCTGTCTAAACGTGTCACAACAAGCAAAACTGTAAGGTAGAGAAAGATGGCATCTCCCCACTCTTCTTTCCCCCTCCCTTCTTTCCTAAATCTCACCAGAGACAGAAAAGCTTTATGAAAACAGCATGGGCTTTGGCGTTGGACAGACCTGAGGAGAAATAAATCCTAGCTTAGCCTTTTATTAGCTGTGTGACCTTGGGCAAGTTACGTAACTTCTTTGACTTTCAGCTTGCCTGTGTGCACAAACGGAGATGACACCTTATTGGCTTGTATTATAATTAAATAAGAAAATATGTGAAATGTATCTAATATATGGCTAGCTCTCAAGGGATATGACTTTCTGTTCTTACCCATCTGGATCATCATGCACCTCGTACCCTCAAGCTACCAAAGCCAAAGTATGTGCCCTGTACAAATCTTCCTTTCCTTTCCTAAACCCTAGCAAAGTTCCCATCCCCTACAAGAGTTGATCTAATAACACTGTCAAAAGGAGAGAAATTTTTATCAAATGAATTCAAGTAAAACATAAACAATATTGCTGTGTTCCTACATTAACTCCGTAGGGGGTCCTGCATTTGAGAAAGGAGCCTAGAAATTCAAATGACAGGAAAGATGTTTAATAGCGAGCCTCTCCTAAAGGATAAGAGACCAGAGCGCCTGGCTCTTTCCCTGTGGGCACAACTTCTATTACTCTCTGTGCTGAAGATGAGAAATCAGTCAGAGCTGCAGAACATCAGCTCAGGTTGCTGAATGTCACACCTCAAATCAACAACAGGTCCAGAATAGAACTTGGGAGCCTTGGCCATCCCTCCTGCTCTAGTCAGCACATGCTACTTCCTTACGCAGGAAGTTATGGTGGTACTTTTTTCCTAGGAGGTGTCCAACACTATTTTAAATTATTTGGACTCAAACAACAGGATTTGACCATGGTCATAGTCTTGGAACAGTCTGTGGAAGGCCTGGGCCCCACCTCCAGCATCACATCTTTCTTCTCTGAACAGTCCCAACAAAGCCCAGATTAATACATGCTGCAGAATGGCCCTGTGTCTTGACTTGTCTTTCAGTGATCCAGTAAGAAGGACAACAGAGAAATTTCTAGGCTTTCCATATACAGGATCATAGAAGCAGATTATTATGGCTAAAATCAGCCTAGATGTAATCACCTGGCACAATTTGCTATGCTGAGTATAAATCACAATTCAGCATGTAAGTTCTCATTATTAGATACCCTTTAACACTACGATGTTCTACTCGACTTTCCTAGCAAGCCTCCGGAGAGCCAGGGGCACTAGCTCAGGCCAGGGTCTGAGGACCCAGATAACCCGGGGGCCCTGGGGTAGAAAAAGCTGGCTGGCAGCTTCAGCAGGTAGAATAAAGAGGAACTGAAGGCAAGGTCTAATGTACAGGAAGGACTGGTCCAGGTAGGATTACTCGATAGCATGTGCTTATGGAACTGGCAAAGTATGGACAACAACAATTTTAAATAACTTTGTATTTATCAAAGTAGTCACCATGGTAAAAATTAGAATTTTGCTGAATTTTCTTTATACTTTGCTGGACTTTCTTATACTTAATTTGCATTTAATACCCTTTTAAAAATACATACTGAGGCCGGGCGCAGTGGCTCACGCCTGTAATCCTAGCACTCTGGGAGGCCGAGGCGGGCGGATTGCTCAAGGTCAGGAGTTCGAAACCACCCTGAGAAAGAGCAAGAACCCATCTCTACTATAAATAAGAAATTAATTGGCCAACTATATATAGAAAAAAAATTAGCCGGGCATGGTGGTGCATGCCTGTGATCCAGCTACTTGGGAGGCTGAGGCAGGAGGATTGCTTGAGCCCAGGAGTTTGAGGTTGCTGTGAGCTAGGCTGACGCCACGGCACTCACTCTAGCCTGGGGAACAAAGCGAGACTCTGTCTCAAAAAAAAAAAAAAAATAATCTGGAGCTGGTATGGGGACTTATCTTCCTATTGTTTAGGACTGTTAAATTCCTAATCTGGCCCTTGGTTTCCAGAAGAAGCAAGGAAAACTAAGTCTGAAGCTTCCAAGTCAATATTCATTCTTTCACTCAACAAACATTTCTTGAAGTTAGTGCCAGGATTTTGTTCAGTCCTAGGATATAGCAACACACAAAACAGAAGTGGTTTCTATGTTCCTGGAGCTCACAGTCTAATGAGAATGGCTGAGAAAAAGAGCAGGATCCAAAGCCAAAGGTCTATATTGGAAAACAGGCAAGATTCCACAGCCAGCAACAGGATGCCAGCAAAAGGACCCATGGGGAGGCAAGAGGCTATTCATGGAGATATTCATGGTTCAGATAATGCCCTTAACCCCTCACTCCCTTTGGCACAGAGAGAGCCACTGTGGTTGGTAGAGTTCATCAATAACATAATGACTAGTACCCTCATAGCCAGTGCTGCCATGAAGCTGCCCTTTCTCTGCTCATAGCCATGAACTCTAAGCTATGTACAAGAGGCTAAAGTTTCAAAGAAAAACACAAGACTTGAATTGTCTACTAACAGGAATTCTAGAAGGTACAGCAGGCCAGAAGTCGGAAGCATAAAAACAATTGCCAGAAGAAGCTGGGTGATCCTCCCCCTACCTTGTCACTGCACTTCTGACACTACATGGAAAGCAAAAATAAAGGAGTAGGAAAGGAAAAATAAAGGGGAGGGGTATGGGGAGGAGAGCTGGAGAAGATACCTAGTGAAATGGTCAGGCTCTAGCCAAAAGCCTCCTGAGAGGAGTTTCTGCTTTGCAGCATGATGAGGGCAAAGATTTGAGAAAGGCTGTGGCCTTGTGTGGTCGAGAAAGGAGCCATTCTGGCAGCTCAGCTCCAGCACTGCCAAAAACTGATGGCCATGGTGAAGGTGAAGAGCCAACAGCAGCAACAGCAGGAGCTATGGAGTGAGAGCACAGCCGGCAGAGCAGCAGACCTGAAAGTATTTGACCTCTCCGGGCCTCCTTTCTTTTATCTGAAAATGAAGATGATGATAAGAATGTGTATTAGTTTCTTAGGGCTACCATAACAAATGACCACAAAATGGGTAGCTTAAAATAACATAAATTGATTCTTTTAATAGTTCTGGAAGCTACAAGTCTGAAATCAAGGTTCATCAGGGCCATGCTCCCTCTGAAGGCTCTAGGGAAGAATCCTTCCTTGCCTCTTGTAGTTTCTGGTGGTTGCCGGCAATCCTTGGAATGCCAGAGCCAATCCTTAGCTTGTGGAAGCCTAACTCCAATCTCTGCCTCCATCTTCACACAGCCATCTTCCCTCTGTGTCATGTTTCTCTCTTCTTTTCTAGAGACAGGGTCTCGCCTTGTCACCTAGGCGCTGGAGTGCAGTGGTGCAAACATAGCTCATAGCAAACTCGAACTCCTGGGCTTAAGCAATCCTCCCTCCTCAGCCTTCCGAGTAGCTGGGACTACAGGTGTGTGCCACCACACCCAGTTGATTTTCTTTTTTTTTTTTGGTAGAAACAATGTCTCCCTATGTTGCCTAGCCTGATTATAAACTTCTGGCCTCAAGCAATCCTCCTGCCTTGGCCTCCCAAAGTCCTAGGATTATACACATGTACCACCACACCCAACCCTCCTTTTCCTCATAAGTATACAAGTTACTGGAGTAGGACTAACCAGCAGAACTTCATCTTAACTTGATTACATCTACAAAGACCCTATTTCTAGATAAAATCACATTCACAGATTCTGGGGGGGTATGAATTTTGGGGAATACTATTCAACCCAGTACTGGGCACCAACCTCATAAGGAGAAGTTTGTATATGTAAAGTGCTTAGGACCATGCCTGGCACATAATGTATCCTGTGTGAAGCTTAGCTACCCTTCATCATCACTGGCAGGTCAGCCAAGAAGCTGCACCAGAGAGATAGCATTCTGATCACTTCAGAGTCAGATGGTGAATTCTGATCCCAAACTACTTTACATGGCATATTTATCCCACAGTTTAGCAACTAAATAACTTTTGGCTAAATCTAAACATTAAATCCATTCTCTGAAATGGAGGATTTGCTATTTCTGAGGATATGATATTCAAAAGAATAAGCCACTTTCAAATTAGCAAAGGGAAGGATAGATTAAAGACTTCTGCTCCTCCTTCTTCAATAAATAGGTTTGGGATAGCCACCCAAATGAAACAAAAAAGAGCCAGATCCAAACTATTCTCAAACCTATCAAAATAAATTCCAGATTGATCAAAGATTTAAATTTAATGACTGAATTAAAAGATTTAAACACACACATACACAGAGTACTCAAAAAGAACAAGTCATTATTTTTGTAATTTTGAGGTGGAAAAGTATGCTTTTCCTAAACATTGGTCTAATAGAAGAAACTATAAGGGAAGATTTGAATACCTAAAAATGTAAAGTGTGCAGACAGAAAAAAACTACATAAACAAAGTTGAAAGATATATGGCAAACTAGGGACAATTCTGCATTATATATGATAGTTAACATGTTAACTCTTGTAATTTAATAAGAAAATATTACTGGAAGAATGTGCAAAGCACATGAATAAGTGATTCAAATAGAAAATACAATGTCCAAAATACATTTGAAAAAATGTTCAACCTTTAGTATCCTAAGAAATGCAAACTAAATCATACTCATTATGTCTCTGTTACTATTCTAAGCATCTTACTTGGATTAACTAATTTATTCCTCAAAATAACCCCATAAAATAGGTGCTATCATTATCTCAACTTTACCAAAGATGAAACTGAAGGACAAAGAAGATAAATGACATACCCAAGGTCACACAGTTAATTAATGGCTGAGTCAGAATTCAGGCCCAAGTAAGCTAAATCCAAATTCACATTCTTTTTTTTTTTTTTTTTTTTTGAGACAGTCTCGCTTTGTTGCCCAGGCCAGAGTGAGTGCCGTGGCATCAGCCTAGCTCACAGCAACCTCAAACTCCTGGGCTCAAGCAATCCTTCTGCCTCAGCCTTCTGAGTAGCTGGGACTACAGGCATGTGCCACCATGACCAGCTAATTTTTTCTATATATATTAGTTGACCAATTAATTTCTTTCTATTTATAGTAGAGACGGGGTCTTGCTCTTGCTCAGGCTGGTTTCAAACTCCTGACATCGTGCAATACTCCTGCCTCAGCCTCCCAGAGTGCTAGGATTACGGGCGTGAGCCACTGCGCCCGGCCCAAAGTCACATTCTTAACCACCATGTTACAAGACCATGTCTGACCTGTCAGATGGGAAAGATAAAAAACACAACACCTAATGTTATTAAAAGCACAGGGAAACAGGAAATTTCATGTGCTATTAGTAGATGTTTACATTCTTAAGGGTAGTTTGGCTCCATGAATTGACATTTTAAATATGCATACCCTTTAACTTAGCTGTTCTGTTTCTTAGAATTTATTCTAAGGAGACAGTGGACAAGTGTGCAAAGATGTATATATTAGGACTTTTATCACAGAATGTTCATAAGAGCCAAATAACTAAAAATTAAAAACCCAATAGGTATACCAAAGTCCAACAAATTCATTCACTAAACAAATATTTATTGAGCATCAACTGTGTACCAGGAACTATTCTAAACACCAGGTATAGAGGAGTGGATAAAAAAGAAGAAGGCTAAGTAGTGGTTCACACCTATAATTCCAGAATTTGGGGAGGCCAAAGCAGGAAGACTGCTTGAGGCCAAGAATTCAAGACCAGCCTGGGCAACATAGCAAAACCCCATCTCTACAAAAAATAAGAAAAATTAGCTGGGCATGGTGGCAAACACCTGTAGTACTAGCTACTCAGGAGACTGAGGCCAGAAGATCACTTGAGCTTAGTAGTTCGACACTGCAGTGAGCTAGGATCTCTCTGCACTCTACTTTGTCTCAAGGGAAAAAAATCCCTACCTTCATAGAGCTTACATTCTAATGGAGTTAGGTACTAAGCAAATAAATTTTAAAAAGTATGCAATGTAGTACTAAATGCTACAGAGAAAAATACAGGAAGGAAAGGACATAAGGAAGAAAGGGAGACTGTTAGGATTTTAAGATAGGAGGTCAAAGAAGGCCCCATTGATAACAGATAAGATAAATGGATTAAATATCAGGAAATAAAATGCATTATAATATATCTACTCATTGAAATATAATTCAACCATTTATTCTGTTTATTGACATGAAAATGTCTCCAACACTCAATCAAATAAAAAAGAACGTAAAATAATCTTAAGAAGAAAACAATAGTAAGGTATGATTTCATTGATATATAAAATTACACATATGCACATGCTTATACTCTAACTGGGAGAGAAGAACAACACATAAGAAGATCAATAATACCAAGCAAGGGTCCAGGATGAGTGCCAGCAGTGTGTTTGTTCTCCCACCCACTCACTCATCCTCCTAACACCTACACTTTGTTCCAAAAAGAATTTAAGGACAGCAAACACACATACCCTCTCAAGTTCTTTTTTTTTGAGACAGTCTCACTCTGTTGCCTGGGCTAGAGCCATGGCATCAGCCTAGTTCACAGCAACCTCAAACTCCTAGGCTCAGGTGATCTTGCTGCCTCAGCCTCCCGAGTAGCTGGAACTACAGGCATGCGCCACCATGCCTGGCTAATTTTTTCTATATATTTTCAGTTGGTGAATTAATTTCTTTCTATTTTTAGTAGAGACGGGGTCTTGCTCTTGCTCAGGCTGGTTTCGAACTCCTGACCTTGAATGATCCTCCCTGCCTCAGCCTCCCAGAGTGCTAGGATTACAGGTGTGAGCCACCACGCCCAGCCCTTCAAGCTCTTTAACTTTCCCCATCCTCCCGCACCTTTTCTCTCCTCTTCTCAGAATCCAGGCCAGAATCCAGGTGAAAGGGGACATAAGAAGGATAGAGGAAAAGCCTTACAAGACCTGGATAGGATTCCTCTTACTTCAGCTCGTGGGAAACAGGTCCTATGAGACACAACTTCTTCCTGCAGATCTGTAGGATAGGATGCAAGGCTACCTGACTCAGATTCTCTATTTCATCCCCTACTAAACCCAAGATGCCTCGCAGGAACAACTGGAGTCAGGAGCAAAACTGACTCATCACAAGGAGGTGACAGACCACAGGAGGCCAGAGCTCTATTCCTTGCACACAAGTGACTGCTTGTGTGCAAGACACATCTTCCTATGAATAGAAATGACAGACCCAAGCCCTTTTTGACCCCTACCCTGTCCCCTCCTCCATGCCTGTACCTACAAGCTAGCATGGCTAGGTAAACTCACGCTCAAGCCCTGACACCCCCTGCCTTGACTCTAGAATCACAAATTTCCCCACTATGATTCTCAAGACTAGATCTCTACACCAAGAAAGTTGCCTAGGGTGACCAGAAAATGCTAGTTTGGAATACTTTCAGCCTGGGGTGAAATTATGAGTAACCTGACAGACAGAGTCAGATATATCTGCTTTTAGACATATGGAAGCAGATTACACTTCTTGCCTGAGCATAAAGCCACAAATAAGGAACTGGTAACTTCCCAAAGGTGAAATCCATTTGACTGTCCCCTGTATCTTTAGTCTGCAGAGGGAAGTGGAGGCACGAGTGAAGATAGGAGGCTTAGGGAAAGATTCAACTACTTTAAAATAGTTCTCACATACTGTTATCTCTTGTACACCAACCATATGCCAAGGCTCTGTGTTAAGTGCTTTCACCAAAGTGCTTTGGTAAAAGCACCAAAAATGGAAAACTCATTTTTATCAAACATTCCTATTATGTGCTATTGAATTTAAGAAGCCTAAGGCATATTAAGGTCCAGCCACCCTGGTGCCATGAAATACCCAGGCTTGGTATTAAAAAGAAGATAGAAATCCAAGATTCTCCTCAGGGCTGTGACATGGATGTCTCTCTACATACCATCAGGTCAGAGTCTTAAGGGCCCAATCTAGCTTCTGCTCTCTTACCTGGGCTTTCAACAGAGAACATAACACAACACACACATCCCAAGTCCCTAGCACACTT